GGTCAGACGGGTGAGGTACAACCGGCTAAATCAGCTCTGAAGTGTGAGGTCCCCGGTGGCGGCGGGGTTGAGGAAATGTAGCTGTTTACTGTAGGTTGCTCAGGAGGAACATAGATTGTCGCTTAGAACGGGACCTTGTGCACGCCGGGGCTTATAGCACACCCCCTGGGCCGTGAATCCCTTTGATACGCCACATAGAGAGGATCAAAGATGTAGAAAGAGATGAGGAGACAATTATACGAGATAAGATTTCTTTTTGCGAGTTACACGCCTTAACCCTTAGATGCATAAGTGGGTCTTTTTTGACCCGGTGAGGTGGTTTTCTTGAAGTATCTTTGTAATTACATTTTTTTATTATTTCATATTCCAGCTCTTCCTCAAAAAACATGTTTTGGATATCGTGCCATTCACATTTTAAATTTAAATTGTATACATTTTAAGAAATTGTAGTTTTTGTATTAATACCCCAAGCTTCCATAAGTGGGTCAAAAATGACCCGCATGCATTTCCTATGGGATCCTCTGGGAACCTTTGATTCTTATCACCTGTTGCTGACAGGAATACATTCACTGTGGACCACACAGGCTACATCACAAGTGACACCTCTCAGGAAGATTATTTTACAAAGCAAGATCTGATACCTGTCAGTATAATCATAATCATAATAATAATAATAATAATAATAATACATTATATTTGTATAGGGCTTTTCAAGGACTCAAAATCGCTTTACAATAAGGGAAGGTTAGGGTGGGGGGTATAGGACTATCAAACTTGATCAACCGGCATGGATTGATGGGGGGTGGCTATGAGTAGACAAGAGGAGAAGAGATGAGTTTTGAAAAGGGACTGGAATACTGTGAGGGTCTCAGAATAGCGGAGATCTTTGGGACAATATGCTCAAAACGTTTTTTTCAAAATGTCAAAAAAAAGTCTAAAATTATAAATTGTAAAAAATTAAATATAAAATATTTCTAGTGTGAACCAAAATATAATGGCAAACAAAAATGGCATAAAAACACATTATTCTAATACGGGTCCCTTTAGACCCACTTATGGAAGAGTGTAGGGTCTAGTCACTCGGGCACCTAAGGGTTAACAACACTTCCCCCGGGGATGGAGGTCAGCGGGTACGGGTGTGTGACAGGAAGCCCCTCGGACAGCGCGCCCGCTCGGCCTCCGACTTGAACTCTCAAACCCTCCTCGCCTCTGTCTCCTGATGTCTGAATCCCATCCCGTCCTGGACACAGACTGCCAAGCTTTAGCTGTTTGCAGAAAGGAAGTGATGTTAACATACATTTCAAGGCGAGGATTCTTTGTCTTTCCTCCGCTCCCCACACAAACACGCTGCAGGATGGAAATCAATAACCTTTCAAGAGTGAGTCAATGCAGAAACTGGTGGCGAACAAGCCCAATGCTGTTAAATCAAATCTGCTCCTCACATAACGGGGGGGGGGGGGGGGTAATGTAAAGACAGTGCTTCAGCACATCGTTGCTCTTGCACCTATGTAAAGTGTTTATATTGAGGATAATAGAAGGGCCAGGAGACAAAAACAAGCTGGTTTCAAACAGAGAATGAAGAAGCCAACTGCAGGGCCGGGCACCCGCAACAAACACTACAACACTGCACACAGCATCGTGACAGGGAGTCTGTGTATCCTTGCTTAGTCTTAGATTGTATTCGTATGTGTCCAGAAAAGCGTATTTTTCTTAGCACCAGGGTCTTTCTTCAATCGGTTCCAAAGAGAACAGAGCGCATGCCGTCGGAAGTGGGTGCCTATTTTGCGAGCGCTACACACGCATCTACTTAAAAATAGTTTTGGCTTTCATTCATCTGTCAGATGGAAACTATTGTAACAAAGAACAAAAAGCCTGTTGAAGCAGATCGACCGGGTGGACCCCATAACAAAAGACAGCACAGTACTTATGATAAGATCCAGGCTATCCTGTCTTACAACAGCGGAGATACTTTGTTGAGATATCATTGTCATAGAAAAAAGCAGCGTATGGACACAGGCCCCACATCTAAAGGTAAGGCCTTATATTAGGGTTAGGGTTAGACCAGGGGGGTCAAACTCAATTTCATCGCGGGCCACATCAGCATTATGGTTGCACTCAAAGGGCCGGCTGTAACTTTAAGACTATATAAAAAGACATATATAAATATTGAATATATATGAAATAACTTATTATATTACATTATTGCCTCTGCATTGGATTATTATCGGATAGGGTAATAACTTCATAATTAACTACGTCTGAAAGCAGAAGTCTAGGGCAAATAATTGCAAGTCTCTTCAGTGAGAATGTCACAATATGATTTTAAAAGAAAAGCCACATTCTGAAAAAAATAAAAAGAAGAAGTGACATTTAAAAAAATAAAATCTATGAGAAAAAGGCTAATTCTAAGAAAAAAGGCATATTTTGCCAAAAAAAAGTCAAATTCTGAGAAAAAGTTAAATTTGAGATGCATTGTGGGACATGTCGTGTATGGGCAACGTGCTTCTGTAAAGTAGCATGTTACAGTATAATAAACATATTATATTCTTTGCAAGCTCTTGTGGGGCCACATAAAATGAAGTCGCGGGCCGGATTTGGCCCCCGGGCCTTGAGTTTGACACCCCTGTATTAAAGTAAATCCAACATGGAATCGCATGTAACGTGCATTCTTTTTAATGGCCAGCAGGAGGCTAGTTGCAAATATACTTATTAATATACCCTCATAAACCAGCCAAGTGCTCTGTGTTCTTGTTCTGCCACTTTATCAGTGTGCTTTGAATGAAAGTACGTTTTAATATCTTGGGTCAACCTCAACACGTGTTGAGCATTTGGTTGTACTGAGCTCCATGCACCCTGTCAGGTCACCTGTCAACAAGATTGTATGTCCAGAACACCAAACTATATGAAAACATGAGTCAGCAAACCAGTAGAGTGATGTCATCTTGGAGAAATCCACTTAAACTAAATCTATGGGCATGGCTGAAACGAGGCATGATGCATTGTGTCCAGGATCAAGGATTTCAAACTCAACACAATAATGATGTTTTTTTAGTAGTAATGTTTTAGTAAAGTTGTCTCAAATGTAATTCTGACAGGAATAGAGTGGTAACTGCACCACCCTTACATCTTAAATCCATGATACCTTTAGCTACAAAAACCCTGAATAACCATAAGAATAGACGAAGAGCTCTCGTTGGACTTGTTTTAGAAATCTTAGCTTCCCTGCCCTTCAGGCTCAGAGCGCTGATCCCCTCACGCTGTAGTGTGAGGGGATTGAAATCTGAACAAAAAGGCAACAAACACAATTATTATCTCCACTGTGAACACATTGTCAGCCTCGTCATTAGCATCATTCTCCATTAGGGTCACTTTCTGCATAAACAGGGTTTGTGCTTCTTCTTGTAAATCTAATTCATGTTGCAGAAATGTCTTAATAATCTTCACTTGAAGGTCACTGACCAGAAGATTAGCTAAATTACACCTGACTTCCTGTGCGTCATCAAGACTTTTCTTTTTCATTTGCCTTTGAAACATCGAACCATGCATGATATGTCAGTTACAGTTGTTGTCCAGGTTCCTTAAAACGGCTATTAAAGAGCCAGGGTTTCAATCAATCTGGCCCACAATTTATTTGGTATCATTTAAATATATATATTTATCATTTTTCACCTTTAAGCCCCCGAAACAATACAATATAAACACAATTGTAAGGTGTATGTACGTGTATAGATAGCTTTGGATAATGTATAGAAAAATATAAACACATACAAAACTCAGTACAGTGATGACAAAATACTAGAACTTTCATTGGAGAGCTGCAGATTTGAAAATAGGTATTGTGTTGAGAATAAATGTGCAAATAAAAGCTATAACATTGAGCATTAACAAGATGTTTCTGCGCACCTAATGGCAAACCATTATTTGGTCATGAGTTGGCATTACCAGTTGTTTTTTGCATCTTTTGCCTTTTAGCCCTGGAATCAAATCTGGAATATTTGGTGTACTGGCAATTCTGTTGAACCAATCAGTTCAGCTAAATAACATGTCATGTATTTTGTAATGCAATGATTTTAATATTTGAAAATGTAGAAGTGGCACTCTAGATTTATATCTGAAATATTGTGCGCATGTGAGACTGTGCACTTGCATCACCTGGTATGATGCATACAGTGGAGTGCATGGCCACATGTGTAGCAATCTTTCTGCTGACAGCACCATTTTGGAGGCTTTTTTATTATTAAAGTTGATCTTATGCAGGGTTAAGTGCTGCCTGTCCTAAGTGCAGCCACTCACAGTTCCAGACACCCTTGAGCAACATTTCTGCCCACCAGGGGGATCAATGCATGTGGCAAAGTTCCTGCAGGCATTGTTGATGTTTTTCAGCATATCATTTATTGGGACAGGAAGGGAATATATTCATATATGTAATGTTCAATATGCAGAGCTGCAGGGCACAACAGATCAGAGAGATTGGGGCTCTTGAATGCTACTCTGATGGGACTTTTGGATGCACAGGGGACTGTTGGAAGGGGTTGTGCTTGTAGTAACAGGAATAAGAAGCACGTTTACATGATTACTTTGCACTTGTTCTCAAAGATGGAGACACCTGGACAGACCCAAGCCATGCCCCTTTTTCTCCTAGAACCCTTTTCCCCTAAATGTTGCCAGGGCTGATTTTTGGTGTGTTTATAGCCGTTAAAAATAAGATAAAGTCAGACCGGTTGTCTCTTTAAATCAAGCTGCAGTGTTGATGTGCCCTCAAGCTGAAATGGTAAGGACCATTTCCACCTCTGCGGCAGGGAGCCTGACCAAATAGGCGCACTAGAGCGCTTCAAACGTGATTCTCATTCCCTTGGTCACTTGTGGTCTATGGTCGCCTCCACTCCTGGAGAGGGAAATAAATCAACAGTGTCTTTTTTCCATGGGAGTTTGTTTTCCCCCCTGCGCATCTCGGAGACATTATTTAATTTGTATTCTCCTCTCTTTTCTTCCACCCGCAGAACTCAGTGGCAGTCGCCTCAATCAATGTACCGCTGGCTGGTACGCCTATCTCCTCCTCTGCGTTGCAATCTGTTGATAACTCCACTTGCAAGCTGCAGTTTATTGTGTTTCGCAATGGGAAACTCTTCCCTTGCACGGGCAATTCGTCCAATCTCGCAGACGATGGGAAGCGTAGGAGCGTTTCGACACCAGTTGCTTTCACCAAATTAGGTAAGAGGAAATCCATTTTTATCATCATCATCATGCCTGTGATGTCAACGCTGCACTGTAATGCCGACATGCTATCACACGCACACACACATGCACTGTGGATCAGTTGTGGCTCTGCGCAACATGTTGGAGCTTCGCAGCTATAGTGTGCCACAATATCTCAATTACTTCCTGTTTAATTACAATGAATCACACGCTGCGTTCCATCCACTGATGCATTTAAGACACATGTCACTTTCCTTAAGTTCACTTACACTGCAGTAACCTGAGCAATAATGCGTGTGCGCCCGCCACCCATGCCACTTCTTTTCCAGACTTTCCACTTGGTTTCCTTAATTGAATGTGTTTCTTGCAGATGGGTGCAGCCTGGGGAGCGCCGTGCACACCGTTACTATTGCTCTCAGGCACTTCGCACTGGGTGTAGACCCCACCGCCGCCTATTGGGATTTTGACCTGCTGGATGGACACGGTGGCTGGAGGGCAGAGGGCTGCCACATAACAGGCTCCGGGGGCAACACGACCACCATTCATTGCACCCATCATAATAACTTTGCTGTGCTAATGGTGAGTAGGCATACCCAGTGTCATTCATTTTTTAGCACCCCCACATCTCCCACTGCTTAGGGCCTATTATGGATCTTTTTTCTCTCACCATGGAATAACGCGTTTTAAGAGGCAGGGACCTCTTAAGGTTATTGTTGCTCCTCAGCAGAGGGGAAGGATTTGTCAAATGCGCTACTGGGATTTATTGCCTTTGGAGTAAGCGCTACGCTAAATTCCCTCCCTGTATCCTGGAAATGAGAAGTTGCGTGTGTTGTAGCCTATAGTCTGCCACCTTTTTCCAAAAAGCAGCACAGCGATAGAAGCAAAGCTCGAGAGAAGGAGCGCCTTGTCAGGAGCTATTCGCCTCCGAGCGCAAGTGGTGTGCTAATTGGTTGCAACCATCGCACAGCAACAAAAAAAAAATGTTGGACTGTAAATCGTAGCATCGTTTCTTCTGTGGGCTCGACGCCGCCGAGATGCCTTCTCCTCCTGACGACGTCCCCCTGTTCAAATTGATTTCATGAGGATAATACCAAAAGCGCAATGGCATCGCATCGCCCAGTCGCTCCATAGAGAGAGCCGCTGCGCCTGGTCCGCTTTTTTTTGGATGAAAAGCAATCCTCCGGATGTTTACCGAAGAGTGGGATTCGTTAGACTGGGAGGTCAGTTTCTCGGCAGAGCATGAAAAGTGTTTGGCTTGAGATGTCGTTTTTGCTTTCCGAGTTTTTTGTTTTAATATACCTGCACATTTCATGAAGCCGCTGTTCAATTCCGTTGTTGTGTTCGGGCTGCCTCGGGAGGGGAGGAAGGGGGAAAAAAGCCGCATAGGAATGGAGAAAGAGTGGGGTATACGGAGGGGGAAGAAAACATAGGGTGCTGCGGGGGAGGGGGGGTGAGTGTGATGTCTGTGTGGAATACTAAGCTGCTGTCAGATGGAGAGCAGATGTCAGCTTGTCATTGTGCATGTATTTTGTTATCATACGCGGGCTTTGGGGAGGCGCGCCGTCAATGGGCACCTGACTTTCGGAATAAAGCGAAATGTTTCAAATATTCCTGGCAGCACATTAATTATTTGAACTCCAACACACGTCCGCCTGGTTGTGGTAGCTATGGAAAGCCTTCACAGGGGAAGGGGTGTCCACATAGTGTGTTTTTTGGGAGAGTTCGCGGCGGGGATTGCGCGAATGCAGTCACCACACCCGCCTGGTCTCTGCAGTGCCCAGAAAAGGACCCTTATTTACGGACGCGTGACATCATTCTCCTGTTGTCCTAATCTAAAATACAGTCTATTGTAACAATGAGCCGTGTAGCCTTTTACTAGGGTACTTATTGCAAGTACTAGACCTGTTGCATGATCTTCTCATGTCAAAGAGAAGCATGTGGCTGCAAGTTCAGTGAAGGAGCCTCCTTTCAGAATTTAAGGAGGCTTTTTCGTGAATTTGTTACATGAGTTGCAATTGGCTGCTTTGGTGTTCTGAGGGGAAATCAGAGTTGCAAAGTACAAAAGTTCCCGTGGCAATGCTACAAAAAGGTGTGTTTGCATTACTGGAGTTAGCTTTGTTTGATCAGTGTCTCTAATATAGCTGAATCACCTTCCTCTGCCTCCATGTGATGCGGCTGCATGGTTCCTTCTCAGATCAGCTGTCTGTGGGGTACCGTGTGCGGATCCATCTCATGGGGCATCTGTGATGTTGAGCAAACTGAGGGTTAGCCTCAAAACATGACAGCTTTGAAAGATGAATAATGCACCAAAATCATTTCAAAGAGCTGGGTGGGGAAGGGGGGGACAATGTCTTTCAATATGAAATATCCAATTCCTGTTGATCCGGACCCTTTCACATGCACTTCTGATGGGGCTGTGTTAAGTCCACAAATAGCATGAAAACCCAGCACGGTTGTCTCCTCGGGGACTGAGGTTTCTGGGATATAAAAGTACTTTAATGAGAGTCTTTAGAGCTGAATTACATGGCAGAGAACCCCCCCACCCCTGGCTTTGTGATCAGAATGCCAAACGACAGACTTTGGATGAGATCTATGTGGACAAACTGGACAGAAAGGCTTTTGTTTGGTCCGTGATGTGGATTGAGATATAATAACATTTTGATTTTCTCACATTGAAGAGAACTAACTGAGCTGTTACACTGAAGCCAGTGATGCAGATTATCCTAGATGTGGGTCAGGTATTGAAAGACAGCATGCATATTAGTTTGTTCTTGCACTGAGCTGAACTTGTTCTGGATCTCAGCACCAGGGACAGCTCCCATGCATTTTCGTGTCTCCTTCACTGTCGTCGTCCCCCCCCCCTCATCCTGAAGGAAGGGAGGGCTGACTCACTGGTTTACAGCAATGCAGCCTCATCATCTGTCTTCATCACATTGACATGTCTCACCCCCCCTTTTTAACTGCACCTATTATCAACCAGGCTAATTCCATGTATTTATTATTTGAGGTGATACTGCATTTGATTGCTGCATCACTCCGACTGTTTAATATGCAGGAGCAGACCTTTACAAGAGAGGGGGGAGGAAGGGTTCTGTTGCCAGTATCCAATCACAACAAAGGCCCTAAGGCCACGGTCCAATAAGGAAAGAGCTGTTCACAGATGTCTTCCCTGTACAGTATTTAATGAATATGTAAAGTGAGGTGAGGTAACTAGAGGCTCCTCTGCATCGCTGTTACAGTAGAACAGGTGTTGGCTAAACTCTCCTACAGTGGCGATGTTTCTGGGGACTAAACATCTGTATTTATGAGTGGATAGTTATGGTAATTGTTGCAATAGATTGCAGGAATTACGATGAAGAAGACAGATAAAGAGGTTGTCAAGATAGTAGTGGTGGAATATGTGTTACCATTAGTCAGTTAAAGGGGCCCTATTTTTCTTTAAGGGGGATTTCCCTTTCCTGTAGTGTGGTATAGGTTTGTGTGCATGTTAATGGTCTTCAAAGGCCTTCAAAATCCCTGTGTTCCCTCCAGAGGGAGTTTCTCTCCCACACACTCCCCCCTGCCTTGAACGCCTCCATTGGACAATTTTGTTTACTGCCTGAACGTAGTGACATCACTATGTAACACTTGCCCTTCTATTGGCTTGCGCTCCAACACATAGTGCGCGATAGGCTAAGGGGCGGGACATCTCTAAGCGGTTGACCAATCACATCAGAGTCTGCTTTATTTCACACTGGACAGGAAAGGGAAAACCCCAGGCTTCACTTTACGAACAATACATCAGCTCTTTTTCAGACACTGGATGTGTATTGCCAATACAATCACTATTATTGTCACTCAAAAGGTGGAGGAAAGTTAGAGTGAATACATGTCAGCAGGGTAGAGGAGATACAAGTCTTTCAGTGGAGAGGAATTCATTGTGATTGCAAAACATCCTTTAAGAGAGTTGTTTACTCAAATCCAATCCCCATGAGGTGCCTTTCTTGTTGAGCAATTATGGCTAATACACAAATACTGTAAGTTGTGCGGGCAGGATGCTCGTTGCTAATGAAAAATAACCTCCTGGCAGCTTTCAGATCTTCTGCAGCTCACACACACTGTTTTCTGCTTTATCCCCCATGCCCTGGACTATTGTATTTGAGACATGTTTTAATACGATGATGAAGGGGATTTACAGTTAATGGTGTTATCTTTATTGCTACCCCCTTCCCCGTCAATGTATATTATTGGTCCACAGCGCAAATGTATTCGTTTAACAAAATCCGCATCTAAAGATACGTTATTTTCCCCTGTGCAATTCCAGTCTCACATCGTCATTAACAAATACCGAAAACAGACCGAAAACTTTAAAAAAAAATTAAAATAATACTTTATTCCAAGTGTGCTTGCTTTTCTCTTTGAAAGTCATCACATAACAGCATTGTAATACACGGTTCGGCTGCATTAAGTATTACATATCTGCAGTGGCGGCGCCAGAGTATTTTTGTTGGGTAATCTATGGTAGGGCTAACCCATACAGTGGTGGGGCTCAAGTCAGTATTTGTAATGTAATTACATACACGCTATATCGCACCCCTTGACAGTGAAACGCCACGTGTGAGGCTTTTATTAGCTTTTATTAGTCTCCTTTTATCAGCTAAATTACATCGAGAGCAACAGGTGTGAGTTAAACAATACAATAGCCTATTCTGCTAATTCCACGTTGTTACAACATACTACGCAGCGGCAGAAACAAGAAAAGTTGGCATATAGAATTGACACGGAGAGGGAGAGAGAGAGGGAGAGTGAGGGAGAGAGACAGAGAGAGAGACACAGACACAGGTAAACAGAGAGAGACAGACACAGCACACAGGTGGCCTGTGTCTCTTGTCATACATATTACAAAATATATTCAAAACTCACTATTCACTCTTCAGGTGGGTCGTGTGACTCTGGCACCTGTTCGACTTGTACCTCAATGCGAGGGCGTTTAAGAACAAATCTATCCATCCGAAATATACAATTAATCCTAGAAATTCTGCTGTCTGTCGGCAATTTACTTTTCACTGTGAACGTGACGTATCAGTAATGCATGACGCAGCAGACCCAACGTTTCGTTGCTCTGATTGGCTGTAGGTCTATTCAAATTGCATTCGGAGGCATTTTGATCTGACCGCGGCTGCGCTGATATTATAACGCGAGAGAATTTTCACACCTTTAGTGTATAAAACTCCCCCACTACTTAGACTATTCCTTTCACCCCTCTAGCATAAGCCCGAATGGTCTCAACCATATTGCGTCAGTAACGTGCACTTGTTGTTACAGCAGGATCAGTTTGTGTGTTGTGGACACGACCGGTAGATTTTCGCAATCCGTGTTCTCAACATGCTTACTTTAACTTACTTTCATGGTCGGGCTAAGGTAGGGCTAAGCCATTTCTTGGTATGGCTGTAGCCTACCCCAGCCATACCCTGGCGCCGCCACTGCATATCTGCCGTAGTTCTCTATTTATAGAGCCCTGATGAGAAGACTTCTAGATAAACATGAGGAACTGCCGCCAACACTGAAATCGTGACGTGATCAGCAATTAAACAACATCT